TAATCAATATTTTTATATATTAATTTGATGTTAAAAATTCTAAAATGTTAAAAATTAATCCTTTAAAGATGTCTCTTAAATATGTCATATACTAATATTATGTTATCAGATATTATAGATATATCAATAGAATGTAATAATATATATTAACATTATAATATATATAATAACATATAATAATAATATATATTCATTTCTTTAATTTATAAATTTCTGTAAAATATTTTTCATTAAATTTAGAAATTGAAAAAAACTATCCTGATAAAATGATAAATGTAAATGATGAATAAAATATAATATAATGTATGTATAATAGTATATTATATCTTAATAATATGTAATATTATACATATATCTTAATAATAATAATATTAATTATATGATACGTAATAAATACATAATGATCTTAATAATAAATTAAACACATTAAAATTAAGAATAACTTTTTATGAAAGATATTTTCAAAATAATAGAATTTTAATATAGTTTTTATTTAACAAAATTTTAAATTTTTAGAAAATGCTGAAATTATCAAATTAATAATTTTTAAAATTGTAATATAAAAACTACAAATAACTAATTAATAATTCATTTAACGGCAATATTTAAATGTGTTTAGCAATTGATTGGCGAATCTGATAAAAGCCATAATAATCCATTTCAAATATTATCTAATACATATTATCTAATAATCTAATAATAATATCTAATAATAATATATTATATATATATTAATAATATATTATAATATATTATCTAATAATAATATATTATAATAATAGTATTGCAGTTTAATTTAACAATATTTGACATAAAATATTAAGAAATTTATATAATTTATATAATTATAACATAAAATTTTTGATATTGATTTTGATTTGATATATTAATATATATATATATATATTACACACATTATAAAAAATGTTTATTACTTCTCGGAATTTTTCCAATTAAAAAAAAATTAAATGAAATTTTATTAAATACAGATATATTCTGATTTTGTATTTTTCTATTCAAATTCATTTGTTTCAAAATGATTGAATTTTATGTAAAAAATTTTTATAATAAAAAAGAATTTTACATTATTAATTTACATTATTTAACAAATTATTTTAAATATTATAAAAATTTAAATAATATTATCAATTATATTATTATATATTATATTATCAATTATAATATTATCAAAAAAATTTTTCAAAAATAATTTATAAATTTGTTTTTCTAAATAATTTATATATAAATTTATATTTTTTCAAAAATATGTTATATGCAATTATATTAATAATAAAATCAAATATTATATAATAATAAATTATATAATATATTATATAATAAAATTTATTATATAATAAAATTTATATAATATTATATAATAAAATACTAAAAACATAATAAAGCTAAAAACTTTATAGATTAAGTATATATTTATATTACATTTGAATCTTTTATTATATTTTCGTTTTATACATAAAAAGTTTTTGAAAAAATCCAAAAATTACATCTAATTTAAATAATTTAATTTAATTAAAAAAATAATTCAATGTGAAATATTTTTGAGTTACAAAATATATATGGATTACTACTAATAGAAAGATATTTTCATATATTTTTTGTAATTGTCTAAATAGTAATATAATTTTTAATTTTTAATAGATTTAAATTTTTTAAAAATATTTATTATATATGTATATATTATATATATAATATTATCGAAAATTTCAGTGGATTAATCAGAATTATTGTAGAAAAACTATATTATGTAAGTGAAGTATAAAATTATGGATCTTACGATTAAGAATTATTACGATTTCTTCTTAAAAGACGATTATGAATGAATTTATTCAATGAACTAAACGTTTATGAAAAAAGTAAAAATCATAGAATATTAAAAATAAAATTTTCCTGTTTTTTCTACTTATTATATTCTACTTATTATATTATTTTGTTACTTATTATATGTAATTTCTTTTTTTTTTCCCCGAATTTTTAGAATGAGAGATAAACGAATGAAAACGGTACAAATACATTGTAAATAATTCAGTAATAAGAATTTTTAGCGAAATATTCAAAAATTATAAAATTATTGCTTGCAAGTTAAAATTATCAATGTCGATTATTTCGTTTCCAATTAAATGATGATGCTTACGAAACTAAATCGTTGCAAAATATTCTCGTTAAAAATTCATTGAAATACCTGTATCGAGAGCATTTATCTAAAATTGGTTGATGCAATCGGAAAAAGGGACGCAAGTCTCGATTCATTATTTATTTCAACGAGTGATATTATGGAGCGAAATTCTTCGCATACGAATTGCACTCATGTTAAAAAATAATCAATCACATCTACATAGTAGAAGAACATGATTATACCTTGTATATTGTCATAGAAACGAGATTCTTATCGAAAAGCGTAATTATCAAATAATCATTTTTACGAAAAATAAGAAAATTGATGAATTTTTTGTATATTCTCTGGACTAATTTAAATAATATTAACTCATGAATAATGAGAGGTGATTATCGAGTTTATAGATAATTTCAATATAATTACATTAATGATTTTTTCTTCTTTCTTCCTTTAATTTTCAAATGCTAGAATTTACTAGAAAAATTATTTTATTTTTTGATAAAAGTTTACAAATATAGAAAATAATACATTATTTTCAATATCAACAATCTTTTTTCAATAAAATATCACTTTAAAAAAATGAAATTAATGCTGAAAATTTCAATATTTTTCATTTTTTAAATATAATTTTATAATGGTGTGAAATAAAGAATTTTTCATGTAAAAAAATTTTAATTTTTAATATTCTATCATTCTGTCATAAAAAAAAAATTTTTAAAAATGCACTCAAAATATGAAAAATTCGAAAACTTTGGGGATTTATTTCATTTTTCAAAAATATCTTTTGTGAAAAAAAAAAAAATTTTATGTATAACCAATTATGTTTTATATTCAAACTTTCATTAAAATCATAAGTTAAGTAAATTTTCTTATAACATAATATATGATCATAATAATTATCATGATCATAAATCATTATACATATATCAAAGAAATTCAATATGTAAAGAATATAGAGTTATTTTTTGTTCAATAAAAAAAATTTCAAAGAAATAATTATTTTGCTTTTATTAAAATTTGATTATACTTTATTTACAATAGATTTAATATAACTATGATTGTATTAATCAATGAATAATACAAATTTTGTAATCAATGATATAACACACAATTTTAATGTTTTTTATTTTATAATTTATTAATTATTTATATGAATCTTAATTTAACAAATTTGCAGTAAATAACAATTAATATTTGTAATAATAACAAAATTATATTCTTATATATTATTTTTATTCTTTATATGATATTATAAATAATACTAAATAGTATTTGCGCAATGACAACATTGATAATTTCTTTCCTATATTTATGTATTATATAATTAAGAAAACAATATAGATCATTATACATCTATAACATATCTTTCTTTTTTCTTATTAATTAAAATAAAAAAACGAAATCAATGAGAATTAAGTTTTCATTGTAAAATTCACAATAATTATGAAATTATCAATTTGCTAAGTAAATTATAATGTATCAACATTTTCATGATAAATAATTATGAGTAAATAAATTTCTTTTATATTTGTTAATGTACATCGCAGATACATATGTAGATAAAATATTTTAACATTCGTTTTTTACAATCTTGTTTCTTTATTATCCTTTCATATTGGAAATCAAGAGAATGTAAAAAGTTTTATAAAAAAAAAAAAATAGCGTTCAAATAGAATTTCATTCATCAAATATATAATTCTTGAAAACCAGTTGAAAATAAAGAAATTTCATATTATTTACGAGACTGTTTAATATATAAATAATATAAATAATGCAGTTATCGTACTGAAACAATGTATCCAAACGCATTACATACATCGCAAGATAAAATGAAGTTAGAAAAAGTGCTTCAGTATAATGTGTTATTCCTATACACGAACAACTTATACGGTATTTTATACTTTCTCCCATAAACTTACGCTGTTCTCGTGAATTTGACCGCATAATGTAAATCAAAATTAACGATCATGCTTTACACAACGTTCTCACTCTCCTTCTCTCTTGGAAAGTGAGAACAAATTCACATGGAGAGGAAATTTAATAACATGGTTAAAACGGCAACCAAAAAAATCAAAAAAGCACCTTTTCAACCACAAAAAAAGATGTCGTCGCGATATTAATATGGAAATATAATAATATATTGGTCGATGGAAAAGTTACATCGATTTTTGATTCAAACAAGATAAATATATTATAATAGCTTGAAACTATTGTTCTAAAAATAGTATTCTATTATTTACATTTCCTTTTATCTGAATTTAATAAATAATTAATTATAAATTATTATAGCAATTAGACGTAAGAAAAATCAATTTATCTTATAAAATCGTTTATTTGTTGTAACAATGACAAATAAAAAATCATGATTTTATGTAAAAAACAAATTTCAATAATATATTGAAAAACAGAAATGAAATACGTAAATGATTGAATACTTATGACTATATTGATACATTATTTTATTAGGAAATTATTTATTTCTTCATTCACAAAATCGACATTTTCTCATTAATTCAATAAAATTAACTAGATAGAAATATATAGTAGTACTGAAATATATAATATAATAGTATAAAAAAATAAACACATATATTAAAAATTTTTAATAAATAATGGCTATAACACGATTCTAGTGTTTTCGTTAAAATATTTTTGTGTTCATAATGGCTATTTTTTAACTATGTAACTTTCATTAAAAATTTTTCATTATTATTCATTCATTAATAACTAGCGGATCACATGACGTGATTAAAGCTTGAATTTCAAATCACAAAGCTACATTAAAACAATTGTTGAATATATTATGAAGAATAATTTTATTACTACAATTGTTAAATATATTATGAAGAATAACTTTATTACTAACCTCCACAAGGGTGATGAGGATGATGAAAAGAGGCGGCGGACAACACCTGTAATGATCGGCATAATATTTCCGGTCCCTTTCCTCCGTAAGAAATTCATCGCCGATCATGCGGACCATCCTGCAACCAAGAAAATTATTTTCATGAAATTTATTCTTTACTTCTTATATATACGATAAGATTAATATTTATATTCATAATAAAGATTAAAGAATGGAAATACAATTTTAGAATACAATTTTATAAATACTCACCTATAGAATAGATTTACCTACCTAACGTAACCATCTCAATTGTTTTTCTTAAAAAACCAATCAACACCTTCTCAATTATATATATATATATTTAAGATATTCACATTAATCTTTTTTTTTGTTCTTGTTTTATTTAATTTTTAATTTTTACGTGAATATTTTTATTTAATTCATTAAATAAAAGATGAGATGATAAATATGACAATAAATGAACGACAATGGTCTATTAATAGATATAATAAAATTAATTAATTATAAATTAATTAATAAATTTTTTTTGCTTTTTTTTAAAAAATTTCATTCTAGAAATGCTTCAAATTATCATTTAGAAAAATTTGTTTACGAATGTTATAATAAATATAACATACTAACAATACAATATATTTTGAAATAAAAATATATTTAAATAATTTTAAAAAAAGTTTTAGTAATAAAAAAATAATATAAATGATTATATTATGTTATTTATTGCTTATAATTTATAAGTATTTAAATATATTATTATTTAAATATAGATTTTTTATTATTTAAATATAGATATATTTAAATATATTATTTATTATTTAAATATAGATATATAGATATGTATAGTTAGTATATCCATATTACAATTAAAGTTAATTATAACTAATTAATTTTAATTTTTTATAATGAAAATAAATAAACATATTCACATTTATTATTTAATATAATATTCTATAATATACTATTATATTCTATATTACTTCTATTATATTAATAGAAGTAATTTTGTCAAAATCATATATAAATAGTTCTTTTAAAAATAGTGAAATTAATATCTTAACAAATCTAATTTTATTTTATTGTGGATTAAATTTATATTCAATATTTCATCAATTGATTGATGAAAATACTCAGGAAATTATTTTTTGTTTATAACTATATTTGTATATTTTCGAAACCAATAACTCATTTTCTGATGCATTTTTTTAAAATTATTTTTTATACAATATAAAAATTTTATATGAAGTGAAAAAAAAGATCTTACTCAAAATAAAAGATTATTAAAATACTTATTAATCATAAATTTTTTTGTGACAATTTTGTGACAAATTCCACATTTTTATTTCAAATCTACATATTTAACTTCTCTTAAAATTTTATTATAATAAAGAAAAAAGACTTGATAAAAATGAATGTATAAAAAAAAATAAAAATTTATTATTATAAAATTTTGACATATTTTATATAAATTTATTTTTGAAGCATAGGTATAATCAATAAATACTTATAATATAAAAGATTTGTCTTAATACAACTGAGCAGGATACAAGATAAAAATAAGATGAAAATAACAATATGATATCATGTATGAAGTTATTTCAAAGAAATCATAATTTCGAAAATTTATTAAATGTATGTTTATTTAAAAATTTTACATTAATAAATTTCTGATCATATTTAGATTTATATCATAATTGATAACTTTAACAGATTTACATATTTTTAAAATCTTTTTTCTTTTTTTAAAATCTTCTAAAACAGAAATTCAAATACAAAAATTTTATTCTTATTGTTATTTAATTATTCTTATATTATTTATTATTATCAAATATAAATTTTAACCTTATTTTTTAAATTTTTTTTTTACAAAAATAATATATATAATAAAGATATATATATATATATTTTTTTTACAAAAATAATATATTAATAATAAATATATATATAGTTATAGTTATTAATAATAAATAAAATATAAAATAAATAAAAAATAAAATAATAATAAATAAAATTTAATCAATTTTTTTAAATTAATTAAATTTGGAACTGATGTTGATATATTCACATAATAATCAAATCAGAAATAATAAAAAAATTAGATTAGATACTACAAAATTTATATTATATCATATATTAAAATATATTATCATATATTAAATATATTAAATATATTAAAAATATAATATTGGAAAATTCACAATCATTGATTTTAAAAAATAAAAGAATAAAATGAAAAATTATTTGGAAAATACATTTCTCTTTATATATATAATAAAAAATTTAGTAGCTAAGAAAATAAATAATAAAAAGATTATATTTTGAAAATATTGTATCCTACCTATATTGTGTATAATACTACTAGTTTTATAAATCGATATATTTTCCGCGAAAAATTCAATGAGAAAAATATTATCGTTTCATATAATAAACATCAATATCAACTTGAATATTGTATTGAATTGTATTTCAAATATATTGCATATATGTATATACAATATTATAGAAATAATCTAAATATTAAAATATCCTAAATATTAAAATAATTTTTTTTTATTTTTTTCGTGTATGTTTTTAACAAACATTATCAAATATTCTTTTATTGAAATATTAATCATTTTTTTCATTAAATTTTAATAAATAATTATCTAGTTTCTTATTCATTTCTTATTAAAGTATTATAAGTATAAAGATAATCAAACAATAAATAATTAATATGTATTATTTAAACTTTAATGTATAATGAAATACATATTAAAGTATAAAAATAGAATTATTTTGAATAATTATTTAATTATAAATTTATATAAAATTAATATACAAAATATAATATTTTCTTTTTTCTAGTTTTATTTCCCTATGCAATAGTTAATAATGTAATGGTTCATATTAATATTATGTTACAATTATGGTCACTTTTTCATGTTCAAAGTATAAACATATCTATTGTTAAATAAATTAAATAAATATTCAATAAATTCAATGATAGATTATATATAGAATATAAAAATATCCATATTCTTTAAAACAAAATAACTTTCATAAAATTGAACCGAGTAATTTGAATATTTTTGAAATATTAGAAAGATTAGTTTATTATTTTTATAATATTATACTAGATAATATATAAAAAAAAATTTTTTAAATTCTTATTATTTAATCGAAATTGTAGAGGAAAAAGTAAATTTTTTAACTTTTTTATTATAGTAAAAATTTAATATACCATTTTGAAATTTAATATCTTTTATAAATCTAAATATATTACATAAAAATTCAAAAAGATTTATCAAAATCAATCGACGCATAAAAAAATTCAAAACATCGAAAGATGTAAAATTTTTTTAATTTATAGTTATAGGTCGAAAAAAATGAAAAAATATAAAGTATTTTCGATTGTTTGTAACTCAGAATAGTATTAATTTTGTACTTGTATATAATTTTGTTAGATCTATAAAAAGTATATTTTAAATCTTCATTATAATTTAAAATATAAAAATTAATTAAATAAAAATCGATTTTACTTTTTCCTTTACAATTCCGATCTATAGCAATTTTTTAAAATTTTTTTTTACATATTATGTAATAAATTAATCCTTTTAATATTTCAGAAAAATTCAAATCATTTAGTCCAATTTTAAAAAGATTATTTCATTTTAAAAGAGTATACGAATAGTTTTCTATTACATATCTAGTACATATGAGAGATGATATGCTATTACTCATGTATAAAATATGATTGAAGAATATTAAAATATTCACAAAAACAACAGCAAAATAATAAAATATATGAAAAATTAAAACTCAAAAAAAAATTTTTTTAGTTATAAAAATTCGCAATTCAAACTATGAAATTCGGAGACTGTACTAATGTAACAACGGATTTATTCGAGCGAAATTATGAAAATTATCGAAATCATTAGGAAGAGAAGCATTTTTCTGCAAACACTTGGGCATTTGAAAATTAATCTGTCGGTATAGCTTGGGGATATTCTGAAACTAATCGTTGCAGCAATTTTCACGCGAAGGAATAGTTGCGAGCCCTCGTTAATCGTTGCCAGAGGTAGCAAAATAACTAGAAATTAATTTTACTTTTCGACTTTAAAGAAAAGGAAAAACAATTTCGCGCAATTATGATTGATTTCTTGCCGTTTAGGATTTCTCATTATCTCGAACACTCAATATCTGATGGATGTTCAAAATTTTTCATGCACATTTGGAATTATATTGTATTGTATAAATGTTTTAGTATCATTGACATATATTTGTATATATATTGCATATAATATTATAATATTAATATATAATATTAATATATAATATTAAGTTTCTCTCAATTCTCAACTTCTTTTTTCTTTTCTTTTAATTTTTTATTTTCTTTTTATTTTCTTTTTTATCTTTTAATTCAATTTTATTTTATTTAATCATTTTTCAATACTTTAAAATAAAACGGACATTATTCCAAAAAAATTTTAATTTTATAAAATTTTATAAAATCTGCGAATCGAAAAATTGATTTATAATAATAAAAATCAATAGATTATTTTCTTTTTCTGAAAAAATAGAAGATTTTCTATTTTTTATCCAATAGATTTAAATTTTAAAAAAATTCATTATCATATTATATATTTTACTCATAATTGTATTAAAGAAAAATTCTAATGTATCTAATTGAATTATAAAATAATAGTTCTTATGATTGAAATTTGAATATATTTTTTTAAGATCTTTTAATTTAATATTTGTGTAATTATTAAAATGTTATTTATAATATTATAATATTAATATATAATATTAATATATAATATTAAGTTTCTCTCAATTCTCAACTATATTATTTATGTTATAAAAATGAATGTTTATGAATCTTTTAATTAATTTCGATTTTTCTGTAATCAATTGTATTAAATTAATAAAGAAATTTTTAAAAGAACATCTCAAAATTTTTAAAAATGTTCATTAATTTTATGCAATATTGTATTATATTCATGGTATAAAATAATGAAATAACTGACCTTACTAGTCATCGAAATTTTATTGATTTAATAAAATGTAATTTGAGAGTTTCAATAATAGATGTATAATTAAACTGAATACGATATAAATAATACAATTATAAATTGATAT